ACACACACACAAACACACACAACCAAACCATGCAGTGCCCATCACGCCAGTAACCTTTTCCCCCATTTCCCTCCTCTCTCTCCCTCAGTGATCGTCCAGGAAAAGACAGAGGCAGAACTCCGTGACCGCATCGGCACCTTCAACAAGGAGCAGCTGAAGCCCACGGCCACCGAGGAGAAGGGCGTGCTGCCCAGCCCCGGAGGTGAGATAATATTTTATGTAATTATTACGTCTCTTTGTGTTGGCATTATTCTTTGTTGAGTTGCTGCATGCTGTCTTTGTTATTTGTTTGTTTGTTTGTTTGTTTGCTTATTTGTCATTTGATTATTTATTGAATGGGTGATTGGTTGATTTATTTATTTGGTGGGGGTGTTTCATGGTTTTGAATTGCAAGCTTTTTTCTCTGTCGATGCATTTGTATGCTCTGTCTGTCTGTTTGTCTGTCTCTCTGTCTGTCTCCCTGTCTGTCTCTCTGTCTGTCTGTCTCTTTTACTCTGAACTCGGGTGTCTGTCTGTGTGGAATATTTTACACTTTTTTGGGGAGTCTTCTTCCAATGGAAATCCCACTTCTTATTTTTCTTCATTAAAGTCTACAATATAATAAGCATGTTTTTTTTATATTTTAAAATCGGAATGGGTCCCTTATGCCTTCCTGTTCCTTGTATTAAGCTTGATATAGCAGTGTGGCGGGCTCTCTTCATCCCCAGCTATCGACAGCGCCGCCCCTGAGAACGATGTTTTTGCCACAGTAGTTTTGTATGTTGATGATACCTATCAGTTGTCTACACTGCTGCTTTCAAATAGATGTGAAATGGGGTTGTTGGTTGTTTTTTTTTTGGGGGGGGGGGGGGGGGGGTTGGTGGTTGACCACCAAGAACAAAAACTTAATCGAGCCTAGATCTGTTTGGGCTTAGATTTATTTGAGATTTTAAAGAATAAAAATAAATATATAAAATGTCCGTCTGTTTGAGCATGTCAGAGTTTTGTGTATCTTACCGAGCGAAATGAGCCAGAGAGTGTAAATTGTTTATTGTGTCTTCTCTGGAACGATTGGCATGTCTTTGGTGCGCTGTGCCCTTCTGGTTAATGCTGGCTCTTCTGTTATAAATGCACAAGAGCACGTCATTTGATCAGTGCATGATATTGAAGATGCAGATTTTCATTTAATGCAGGTGGTAGGAAGGCGTCTCTGCTAGGTCCTACTTCTTGTCGTCACCTTTTTTGTGTTTGTTTCTGGCTATCTGGCGCACTTTCCCCCTAAATGTATCGGCAGTTAATGCGTCGATGTACATCTCTTTTCTATAAAAAAAATCATTGCATGAAAGTATACTATAACCTCCCCCTTATATCTACGCCATCACCACCGGGCCTTCCTCACATGACTGTGTGAGTTCAGATATCCAGCACGAGAAAGTGGAGGTGGAGCTGAGAGAAAGGATCGGCTCTTTCAGTAAAGGAGAGCTGCACCACGCCCAGACGGAAGTCAAGAACGTCTTGCCCTCAGAACAGGGTACCGTCTCACTTCACCCTCACCCTCCTCCTACCCTTTGTCGCTTTTCTCGGTGCCATAATAGTCGTGATAGGGGCGTTAAACCTATTCCATTCACCGTTTCGCCATTTCTCTGTGCCATTTCTCGCCCATCTATTATCATAATAATTCTTTTAAAATTCCATTTGGTGTCCCATTAACTCTTAGAATAGGACGCGCTAGTTTAGCTGGCATGCGGCATTGTTATCTCGCTTGTTTAAAGTCTTAATAAAAGTGCTACGAAACCCCAGCAAATTCATCATGATAATAATATCATATCCTTTATCGGAGTGTTGGTGTATAGTTTTTGTTTTTGTTTTGTATAGGTAATTCCTTTTTTTAAAATTTTTTTTTTTTACCTCCAGCGTCTGTGTTTCAGCCGTTTGGCGGCTTGTGTGTTTACGACTTTCCGAGTGGGGAGACATTAAAAAAAAAAATTAAGTATCTTGGTTTTTCTGCTGGGATGCTGTATCCCTCTTAGCCTGGGTTGGCTTTTCAATTATCTAAATTATGTCGATTTGGGGGAAGGGTGTGGGTTTGGGGGGAGGGGCTGGTGGTGTAAATAGAAAACGTAAAAGAAATTCCTTTTCATTAAACGAACTTCTTTTCTACTCAGATGTTAATTTTATTTAGAAATGTTAACCAGGAGCAGAGTTATTCTGATACAGAAGTTTGTAAAGTTGAAAACTTGAAATCCAAACCCCCTCCCTCGCCTGACTTTGTTCAGACATCCAGCACGAGAAAGTGGAGGTGGAGCTGAGAGAAAGGATCGGCTCTTTCAGTAAAGGAGAGCTGCACCACGCCCAGACGGAGGTCAAGAGCGTCTTGCCCTCAGAACAGGGTACCGTCTCACTTCACCCTCACCCTCCTCCTACCCTTTGTCGCTTTTCTCGGTGCCATAATAGTCGTGATAGGGGCGTTAAACCTATTCCATTCACCGTTTCGCCATTTCTCTGTGCCATTTCTCGCCCATCTATTATCATAATAATTCTTTTAAAATTTCATTTGGTGTCCCATTAACTCTTAGAATAGGACGCGCTAGTTTAGCTGGCATGCGGCATTGTTATCTCGCTTGTTTCAAGTCTTAACAAAAGTGCTACGAAACCCCAGCAAATTCATCATGATAATAATAATATCATATCTTTAATCGGAGTGTTGGTGTATAGTTTTTGTTTTTGTTTTGTATATGTAATTCCTTTAAAAAAAATATTTTTTTTTACCTCCAGCGTCTGTGTTTCAGCCGTTTGGCGGCTTGTGTGTTTACGACTTTCCGAGTGGGGAGACATTTAAAAAAAAATTAAGTATCTTGGTTTTTCTGCTGGGATGCTGTATCCCTCTTAGCCTGGGTTGGCTTTTCAATTATCTAAATTATGTCGATTTGGGGGAAGGGTGTGGGTTTGGGGGGAGGGGCTGGTGGTGTCAAAATAAAACGTAAAAGAAATTCCTTTTCATTAAACGAACTTCTTTTCTACTCAGATGTTAATTTTATTTAGAAATGTTAACCAGGAGCAGAGTTATACTGATACAGAAGTTTGTAAAGTTGAAAACTTGAAATCCAAACCCCCTCCCTCGCCTGACTTTATTCAGACATCCAGCACGAGAAAGTGGAGGTGGAGCTGAGAGAAAGGATCGGCTCTTTCAGTAAAGGAGAGCTGCACCACGCCCAGACGGAAGTCAAGAACGTCTTGCCCTCAGAACAGGGTACCGTCTCACTTCACCCTCACCCTCCTCCTACCCTTTGTCACTTTTCTCGGTGCCATAATAGTCGTGATAGGCGTTAAACCTATACCATTCACCGTTTCGCCATTTCTCTGTGCCATTTCTCGCTCATCTATTATCATAATAATTCTTTTAAAATTTCATTTGGTGTCCCATTAACTCTTAGAATAGGACGCGCTAGTTTAGCTGGCATGCGGCATTATTATCTCGCTTGTTTAAAGTCTTAATAAAAGTGCTAC